AGGGGCGTTAATGGGGCAGGGGCATTGGGACAGAGGAGGAGGGGTTGAGTCGAAGAGAGAGGGGTTGGAAAAGGAGAAAGAGGGGGAGAAAGAGAGAGAGAGAGAGAGAACGGTGGGGGTGAAGGGAGAGGGATAGGAGGGAAGAGTGGGGGTAATGGATCAGGGGAGTTGGGGAACAGAGGAGGGGTTGAGAGGAAGAAAAAGGGGTCGGTAAAGGAGTAACAGAGAGAACGAGAGAGGGAGAACGATGGGGATGAGGTAGTGGAGGGAGAGAAGCTGAAGGGAAAGAGAGGCGGTGGTGATGGATCAGGGAAGGGGGGAAACAGACGACGCGGGGGTGGAGAGAGGTGGGGAAAGAAGAGAGAGTGAGTGAGTGAGATAGAGTGATGGGGATGAGGGGATGGAGGGAGGGGGATTGGAGTGGAAGTGAGGGTGTGATGATGTGGATCAGGTGAGTTTGGGAAGAGAGGAGGGGTGGTGAAGAAGGGAGAAGGGGTGGGCGAGAGAGAGGCGATGCGAATGGGTATGACAGAGGGAATGTTTGACTGACTTTTTAATCGTTTTTCAGAAATAGCATTGGTCGTTTAAGCGTTTCAACTACTCTTCCCAGGAGAAAACATTCATTTGATCACGAGATTTCTAGATGAATGACTGTGTGTTTAAAGTATACGGTTGTATGTGTAACAAAGAGAAACGCAATCGTTACTGAAACTAACACTAAAATCCCCGTTTCTGTTTACCCCAAGGCCGCAACTCAACACTCTCACGGGCAAGCGATTCCGCCTACATCCAGCGCGCCATCACAACGAGCCTCACAAGTCTCTCAATGTGAGCAGAGTACGGCAGTGACGTTGCAAACCACTGCCCCGTTTGGACAGACGTGGGATACGGCTAGAGAACAGATGCTCATTGACGTTCTCAGCGTCGTCGCAAACCCTGTCTCCTCGGGCGCCGCCCTATCGTCACTGCAGCCGGAGGACCGCGCACAGACTTCGCAACCATCCCTGCTGACAGAAGATCCGAGTCGTGTTCTCTGTACAAACATGGCGCTATCTGGCTTTAACGATCCCGCGCAGAGCAGCACGTGTGTGTCACAGCAGAACTTGGACACTACTGCACTAAACAGTGGTTCAAATTTACCAGCTTTTTCTCAACTGGCTGAGCTGATTCAGGATTACGAGCGTCCAGCTGGGGCAAACGGGGATCGGAACGACACTGGTCAAGATGGTTCAATGTCCTGTCAAAGTTCTGACGCTCTTGAGACAGTCCAGCTACACGATATTGCTATGCTGGACAATACGGACCGTGTTACTGAGGAAAACGGTACAGATCAGTGCACACCACACCATGCATCAGGTACAAGCTGCCAGACTCGCTCACAGACGAGGAATAAATTACGGCGGACCAGATCCAGAGTCTCTGAGAGTTCCGTGGACGATGCGTCACAAGAGTTTAAGGTACAGGTTCCTGTTAAATAAAGTATTTGTAATTTATCTTGTTACAAGTATGTATATGTACTGTTGTGAATATGTAATGTATACTATACTGTTATGGCCTGCCGTACAAAAGAAAGTATTCACTTGAAAGTTGCAGTTGACGAGAAAATTGCAAACGTTAACAAACGTTACGTGGGTGAAAACAGTCGCCAAAACATAAAAAGCTTTAGGCCCAAAACAAGACTTTGATATCCGTATCATTTACCATTTGTAGACGTGTCCAGCTTGTTTCATGCTTAGTTTCTATCAAACAATAGTGTGTACATTTTGCATGTCAGCTTATTACTAACTGTAATTTATGCCCTATGGGCCTATGGTCGCAGATTCAATGAATAAAATATTCCCTCTCAAACCTGGTTAGTCCGGACACCTTATAATCAGGACAATTACCGTTAAGACAATTCTTGGTATATTTGGAGGGGTATTACTCCAGTTTCATGATTTATTAATCCAAGAGTATTTTAATTTCACTGAGATGGCTCTGTTCGGATTCACGAGGTTTTGATGTAAAACTTCAAACCAAAACGTTTTCTCACAGGAATACCTTAAAACGCTTCCCCCCGAAGAACGAAAGCGAGAGCTGAACAGGCGGGCGGCCAAGCGATGTCGTGACAAGAAATATGAGAAGGAGTTGGAATTGGAAGCTGTAAGTTGAATGCTGACCTGTTGGGGGCGGTGGGGTAGCCAGTGGTTAAAGCGTTCGCTAGTCAGGCCTTAGACCTGGGTTCGAATCCCCACATGGGTACAATGTGTGAAGCCCATTTCTGGAGTCCCCCGCCGTGATATTGCTGGAATATTGCTAAAAGCGGAGTTTCACTCACTCACTCACTCACTGCTGACGTGTTTTTAGACCTTTCCTGTATGCTTAATGCTACAGAATATTACTTTAATTGAGGATATATTAAATACATTTAACATTATCAAACAGAGAACAGTAAACAAATATTTTGGGGGGCATATTTTAAATGAATGTAAATATTCACCGAACATGTTAGGTGGCCTGAAAACAATGTGTCTTGAAAACAATAATTTTTAGGACCCCCCTCCCAAAGAAAAGACACAGTGAAAATCTTGTCAGAAACAGTATGTAGAGAAAAATAACTTTTGAATCATCACTCCACCGAAAATAGATATCCTCAAAATGTGCTGTGATAACAAATTCATATCCCTAATCCACGGAAGACAGTGTGTAACTTGACCGTAAAATTCTGCATTGAAAACAACAATTTATCGGATCCTCACTGAACAGAGAAAGTACAGTGTTTATCTTGACCGAAACCAAATGTGAGGTGAAAACAATAATTGTACGACTCCTCTGTAAACAGAAAGAACATGCTTGTATATATTGACAGAAACATTGTATCCTGAAAACAATAATTGCTCATTAATCCTCATAAAGGTAAATCATACTCCATCACCCAACCGAATATCACATTTTCGCATCATCACTTAGGTTATGACAGCGGATTTGTTAGGTCCAACTATACTTACGATGGATTTGTTTTTTATTTGTTCCAGAAAGCGAAACAGCTTCGCGAACAACGTACTGAACTACTGAGAGAGAAGGCTCAGTTACAGGAACAAAGTAACTCGATTGCCTCCAATCTCCGCCAACACTCTTTCTGTCAGAGGCATTAGGTGGCTGTAAACGTTCACAGTCAAGGCCCAGTATGTAGGAAGAAAGTAACTCGATTGCCTCCTATCTCCGCTAACACTCTTTCTGTCAGAGGCATTAGGTGGCTGTAGACGTTCACAGTCAAGGCCCAGTATGTAGGAAGAAAGTAACTCGATTGCCTCCTATCTCCGCTAACACTCTTTCTGTCAGAGGCATTAGGTGGCTGTAGACGTTCACAGTCAAGGCCCAGTATGTAGGAAGAAAGTAACTCGATTGCCTCCTATCTCCGCTAACACTCTTTCTGTCAGAGGCATTAGGTGGCTGTAGACGTTCACAGTCAAGGCCCAGTATGTAGGAAGAAAGTAACTCGATTGCCTCCTATCTCCGCTAACACTCTTTCTGTCAGAGGCATTAGGTGGCTGTAGACGTTCACAGTCAAGGCCCAGTATGTAGGAAGAAAGTAACTCGATTGCCTCCTATCTCCGCTAACACTCTTTCTGTCAGAGGCATTAGGTGGCTGTAGACGTTCACAGTCAAGGCCCATTATGTAGGAAGAAAGTAACTCGGTGGCCTCCTATCTCCGCTAACACTCTTTCACAGTCAGAGGCATTAGGTGGCTGTAGACGTTCACAGTCAAGGCCCAGTATGTAGGAAGAAAGTAACTCGATGCCTCCTATCTCTCGCTAACACTCTTTCTGTCAGAGGCATTAGGTGGCTGTAGACGTTCACAGTCAAGGCCCAGTATGTAGGAAGAAAGTAACTCGATTGCCTCCTATCTCCGCTAACACTCTTTCTGTCAGAGGCATTAGGTGGCTGTAGACGTTCACAGTCAAGGCCCAGTATGTAGGAAGAAAGTACCTCAATTGCCTCCTATCTCTCCGCCAACACTCTTTCTGACATGAGATCGGCAATACAACATTGGGTTAGAGTGAGCTAAAATATACTCATGCCAATAATGGTTGTCACCCCCCTCCCCATCCCAAGCCTACACCCCCAACCCCCTCTCCAATAAAAAAAATTGAAGGGAGGTGACAACCATTATTGGCATGAGTATATGTCAAGGTGGCTGACCCTTTCAAGGGGTCTGGCATGAGATCAACAACATGTCAAGGTGGAGATCCGCGACATTACAATAGTTGTATGAAGCTGCGAGGCTCCCTCACGGAACATTGTTTATGTGTATAGTGACGAAACTGCCACAGAACTTTCGGGGTTTGTTTGGGGGGTTGGGGGGGGGGGGTTTTTTTTGTCATGATTCAGGAGCTGTTTACACAAACTTTAAAGCAAGCACAATATCTTTGATTTCGGTGATTGAGTACAATGAATGATCATGTATTATCTGAATGTGTAATTTATTTTACTGATATTGATTAAAAAGTATCAATGTTTACTTGTTCTATGACCTGTGTCAGCTTGTTGTACACTCGGAGTGAGTGAGTTTGGTTTTACACCGTTTTTAGCAATATTCCAGCAATATCACGGCGGGGGACATCAGAAATGGGCTTCACACATTGTACCCATGAAGGGAATCGAACCCGGGTCTTCAGCGTGACAAGCGAACGCTGTAACCACTAGACTACCCCACCGCCCATATGCACTAGGAACAACTGGCATCTTTCTGAGGAGATATCACGGACTGACACGAATGTAAACGTATACCCGTATGATATGCATGCTTGATAAACATTACTGGTTCACTACAAAACGTATTTTCTGAGAACTGTTTCCAGTATCTAGTCAGTTATACATAGAGGATATTATATGAGTGTCCATACCATACTATGTTTACGACACGAGTGCCTAAATGTTGGTATTTCCCGAGCGAGAGCGAGGGATATGCCGATATTTAGGCACGAGTGTCGTAAACATAGTATGATGTGGGCACGAATATAATACTCTGTTTATTACCGAAGTCGTCAAATTGAGGAAATTAAAGCCAAATCTACTTTCAAACATAGGCTGGCTACCCGCCGTCGCCGCATGTAGAATGCAACGTCACAGAAGAAACTCGACGTCATAGCATTGTTTCATGCCGTCACGTCACCATGACAAAGTGATATTTTGCCCTAGGACATCGTATGAAAAATATGAACCCCGATATTTTCGCCCTCGTAGGTAATAAATAACGGAATGACATGTATGTCAGAAGGGAGGGTAGGTGGGCGGTTCGATCCCCAGCAGCGTCATACCGTTAGATTTTAAAATATGGTACTTGTTGGTACCCTGCATCGGTGACAACACACTGTCCACCACGCACACACACGCACGCGCGCGCGTACGCAGGCACCAATGCGACATTAAACACATATCCTCTTCACCTGGTTTGGAGAAGTGTTTTCATTGTGGGGGAAGTCTGTGAGATGGGCTATAGGGTGATGCTACCTCAACAGGACAACCAATAGTTGTACAAAGTAAACAGTGTGGCATGCAAGTAAGTCAAGCTTTAGACACTCAGACCAAATCCCCCAACCAATAAAAACAAAAAGAACAAAAAAACACAGACACTGAGTAAAAGAAGTGTTGCTGGCGAAGATGTAGTCTCCTGGTAGCATTTCTTGCGACATTATTGACCATGACGACACATACAGATTACATACAGATTACTAGTCTAGTATCCTCCTGGACACATACAGATTACATACAGATTATTAGTCTAGTACAGATTATTAGTCTCGTCCTCCTAGACACATACAGATTACATACAGATTATTAGTCTAGTATCCTCCTAGACACATACAGATTACATACAGATTATTAGTCTAGTATCCTCCTGGACACATACAGATTACATACAGATTATTAGTCTAGTATCCTCCTGGACACATACAGATTACATACAGATTATTAGTCTAGTATCCTCCTAGACACATACAGATTACATACAGATTATTATTCCATTATCCTCCTGGACACATACAGATTACATACAGATTATTAGTCTAGTATCCTCTTAGACACATACAGATTACATTAGAACAAAAACACAGACACTGAGTAAAAGAAGTGTTGCTGGCGAGTCTAGTATCCATCCTGGACACTAGTATCCTCCTGGACACATACCGATTACATACAGATTTATAGTCTCGTATCCTCCTGGACACATACAGATTACATACAGATTATTAGTCTAGTATCCACCTTGACACATACAGATTACATACAGATTATTAGTCTAGCATCCTCCTGGACACATACCGATTACATACAGATTATTAGTCTGGTGTCCTCCTGGACACATACAGATTACATACAGATTATTAGTCTAGTGTCCTCCTGGACACATACAGATTACATACAGATTATTAGTCTAGTATCCTCCTGGACACATACAGATTACATACAGATTATTCTAGTATCCTGGTGTCCTCCTGGACACATACAGATTACATACAGATGAGTCTAGTCTCCTCCTCCTGGATACAGATACAGATTACATACAGATTATTAGTCTGGTGTCCTCCTGTCCTCCCGGACACATACAGATTACATACAGATTATTAGTCTGGTGTCCTCCTGACACATACAGATTATTAGTCTGGTGTCCTCCTGGACACATACAGATTACATACAGATTACTAGTCTAGCATCCACCTGGACACCCACAGATTACATACAGATTATTAGTCATGTGTCCACATGGTACAGACCATACAGCGGCATGCTTATCATTTCAAACATAGCATATGTATCTACGGAAACACCTTATATATTCTTCGCCATACAACGTCATTCTTCAAAATGTACATGCCGTATTACCTCCAGCGAGGTAACATAAGACACCACGTATGAATACAATTGTGTGATTGGCAACACATCGGACAACCCTTTGGGCCTTGACATGGTCAGATAGAATCTGAATGGACAACGATACATCACTGACATCCTTGTCAATGTTTTAAATATCGATGGCAATCCTTGGCCAAGATTTCATGAATCCTATATTCCCTATAAAACATGTTTAGTCCGGACACCACATTATCCGGACAATTACCGTTCAAATTTGAGGGATATTTCTGCACATTCATGATTGTAAATCCAAGAGTATTATAATTTCACTGAGATGGCTCTGTTCGGATTCACGAGGTTTTGATGTAAAACTTCAAACCCAGTTGTTTTCACAAATCAGGAATGCCTCAAAACGACTGGCCCCCAGGAACGCAAGCGAGAGTTGAACTAGCAGGCGGTCAAGAGATGTCAATGTTGTACATTTGATGGCCGACCTCTCGTGCACATGCCGTTGGTGATTTCGTTCGGGAAGATGCGTTAACAACGCTAACGTGACCCATCGGTGTCCACATCTCAGTCCCATAGAGCATGTTTGCGATTGTGTTTCACATTATGGGGTGTCGCAGAGATCCTCCAGCACAAGATGTACTGGAACAAGACCTCCATCAAGAATGGACCGCACTACCTGGTCAAGGTCAACGTCTGACACAGTCAGTGCGAAGGGGGATCGGGGATGTATACAGTTGGTAGGAGTTACCCCAGATGTTGGCATTGTGTTCGGTTATTGATACTTAAAAAAACTTTCAATTTGGATAGGACGTACAAGCGTTAACAAACTTTTCAAAGACAGACATCTTATCAACGCACCGGGGCCGTTGGGGTAGCCTAGTGGTTAAAGCGTTCGCTCGTCACGCCGAACACCCGCGTTCGATTCCCCACATGGGTACAATGTGTGAAGCCCATTTCTGGTGTCCCCCGTGTTGATATTGCTGGAATAGTGCTAAAAGCGGGGTAAAACCATACTCACTCATTCATTATCAACGCGTCACCATTTCTCTTTATTACCACCCCTAAACACAACGCATATGATGCAAGTGCACAACGTAGTAGCCCCATATGCGTGCATACTACTGCGAGTAAAAGTATTTGAATGTAATCTATCCAGGAAGTATAAAGATAGTTAAAATATTTATGTGTGTTTAATCCTGGACAGGCACGTGGTTGAAACTCATCACGAGACAGTGCAAGCAAGATGATGCAATCACTCGTGTACAAGTTTTCCCTGACTAGAAAATGACGTGGCGGTTTGAATAGCAATTTGCCTGCTGGCGATGGTCGCAGCCCACAGCAGCCCATTGACTCGCGAGCAAGCTTTGGTGACGGTCGCAGATAAATACTGATAAAAAGGCGTTTAGCAGAAATCGGACAGGGGAATTAAAATGGAACCCAGTGTAAGGAAGCAAGAAATGGATATGAACGGTGTGGACACAGACAACCCCACAAGCTACCTGAAGGCGCTTTTCGGCAACAACAGTGCGTGGAACAAGGCAATCCTCTTTCCCGACTTGGATCAGGAATATTGCGAGGTGAGTGATTTTCGTTTGATTTACCGTTAGACTGTTCTGGAAAATGTATGCACCAAAGGATATTCGTTTAATTTCTAAATGTATATAAAATGAAAACGTTGTTACCGCATTTTTGATAATTCATTTCGTTACGGCAGGGACTACCATTTTTTACCAATTATGATTAATCAAGACTTATATATTTTTTTTATTTAACAATTTGCATTTCTGAAAGAGAATCATAAATACAACATTGATCAATACATTTACATTTCAGCTAGAAAAAATGGAGTTAGTTCATTTATCGAGATGATAATAGCTTTAGTTATGTGTACATTATTCATATTTAAAAATAGATGTGAATGGTAAATTAGCATTTTCTCCTTCATAGGCTGAAGGAAGTCCCCTTGACGTGTCGTACGCTTCCACGGTAGACTACCAATCAGAAGTCGAAAAGACAGGTCACATGATTAGCACTGTCCAATCAGGGAGCAATGCAGATATACATAATAGTATGAGCCAGACGTACACATTCACACCTACAAAGGTCCCTGAACCTAGCGGAACGAGCACCATGGACCAAGCCTATGTCACTCAACGTGAAACTGAGAGACATTGCAGAAGTAGGGCAAACGACCTCGAGGCCATGGATGTTTACTCTTCCCAAGAATCAATGGCTGCTACCATTGCTCTTCCGCCTTCTACCATTGTTCCACTACCAACGACCAATGCTCCTCTGCCTACGAACATTGTCCCTCTGCCTACTACCATTACTCATCAGCCTACTACCACTCCTCCTGTGCCTACTACCAATGTGCCTGAAGTGGAAGACATCCTCCCTCTGATCTCCGACACGATGGGGACACCGGGAAGTTTGACCATGCAGCTTCACGGAAACCCAACACAGGCTCGAAACCCCATGCTGCAGAACCCGGATCGGCTGCCAACATCATTTACCAACGACGCTGAAGACGTCCAAGCTGCTGCTGACACCCCCATGCAAGGAGCTGTTCCGTTGCAGCCTGACCTGTCGCATGTCGACCTGGCCGATCTACTGCAATGGATCCAGGGGTTTGAGCCGACGTACCAACCGAACCCTACTTTTGGAGCTGCCACTGCTTGTGGTACTCCTGGTATTCCTGATGGAAACATACCGCAATTGAGTGAACCTTTCACTACAGACTCAGTGGTGGAGCCTGGATCCATCAACGCTCAACTAGGACCAACGACGAATCCATTTACCAACCACAAGACCGAACCGTTCGGAACACCGACCTCCAGCTCAAGTTCAGAGCTCCCAGAAATTTTGAACATTCTCTCTGGTTCCACGTCCAATTCTGCAGAGACCGACCTCATGTCCACCCAGACGATGGTTGATCCTGGTATGGACCTGGCAGAGGTTGATGTCCTCTACCAACAGCACACCGAGCAGTCGTCCCATCTAAGATACATTCCGCCTCCGGAACCGGAAGTGATGAGCGACACATCCGTTGCAGCACATGGCCCTCCTACAACTGTCTCAGTTAAAGAGGGACTGAAGTCGAAGATACAGCTCAAGCGACTCCAGAGAGGGGAAAAGGAACTCATGGTTTATTTCACCAACAAACCGTCTGGAGAGGTAGGAGAAATATTCAAACTGATTCTATGTATTAAAATTCAGTGAATAATTTTCAGATAGATAAATGTATCGATATCTGTATCATTTGATAATATTGAATTTTTCCCTTCAGTTGACGGAAGAAGAAAAGCAGAAGATTGATCGCAGAAAGCAAAGGAACAAGGATTCGGCCAACAGGAGCAGATTAAACCGCCAGATGAAGATGAAGAAACAGATGCAGGTACCGATGATGGTTCGAAATAGTGATGTGCATGCCTTGATAATGGTTTCACGGACATGACATTTTGAATGGCTCTGTGTTCATGACATTTTGATTTACCACAAATCTAGCTACTGTGTCAATATTCGACACTAACGGCGTATTTTAGTGCATGAATTGTGATTTCGCCGATTGTAACAGTATTCATCTACACAGCTCAAGCAATACGGCCAAATCTATGCAGCTCGCATATGTTTACCACTTAATGAAACTCATGGGCACGGGCGTTGTGACGACAAATTAACGATAATTGTCAATTATTGAGTCTGATCCTGGTATAACTAAGAAACGCAACTCTGTATGGCTTACTGTTACACATCATACGACTGACCCTCCTGCGTCTTCACTAACGCTAAAATACATGGCAATTTCATAATTTAATGTTAAAATCATTCGAGCAGTGCAAGATAAAACTAAGCAATGTTTTCATATTTTCCAACTAACAGGAGAATGCTGAAGCAGAGGAAGAACTCGAGAAGCTGAAGTCAGAGGTTGAGAAGTCCAGAAAGGTCAGGGACATTTTGCAGTACTGGTGGGACAGAGGCCTTTGTCACGTGACAACGGGCTTCCGGAAACCACCGTACCACATGGGAGTCAATGACTTGCTGGACGCTCTAGAGAAATACTTGGCATCGGACGCCAAGGTCTGAATAAGGAAACGGTCTTAAGACATGTCCGCGCAAAACCCAATGCGCGACGTTCCAATACGCATGCCCGGAAGTACATGCAACAGCCATGCATGGCCGGTGTCATGTCCACGAATAAACTGAGAGACTTAAGGGGCAATTTGTTAAGACAAAAGTTACAACTCAAAAGAAGGTAGGGACAGGTCGATACCCTTTTTTGGTTTGATTGTTTGGGTTTTGGGGGGCTTAACGCCGAACTCAGCAATATTCCAGCTATATGGCGGCGATCTGTAAATAATCGAGTCTGGACCAGACAATCCGGTGATTAACAGCATGAGCATCGATCTACGCAATTGGGATACGGTGGCATGTGTCAACTAAGTCAGCGAGCCTGACCACCCGATCCCGTAAGTCGTTCTAACGATAAGCATGGATTACTGAAGATCAACTCTAACCCGGATCGATTGTTCATGTTATGTCGATTCTTCAGATCAATAGGGAGTTACTAATGGCATGTCATGACATATTATCCCCATAGTGCTGTGTTAGAATCAGTGATCCCTAACTTCTTTTGAAGAGTATACCTAACAGTTGTACATACATTGTGTGGAAAAACACACTTGTTTAGAAAATTTGTTCCTTAATGCGAATTGTCGATACATTATATTTACTGAATTTCCAAAATCTTCAATAATTGTGTATAATGGTTTGTGGATCTAATGACAGACTGGGCTGAGCCGAATTGAATTGATATCTGGGAAACACTTGCAGTGTATATTTCCATCCAGATTCATAAATGTGATATTTAAAAAATATCGATCGGGATGACATCAGAGAGGGCAAATATCTGTTACTGACGTACGAAGGAAATCTATGTTTGATGTTGTTGTCGAGTTCCTGATACAACACAGGGCAGTGAGAGAAGGACATGAGATATATCCTACTCAACAGATGTTAAGATGTTCAGAATTTCACATTGCAACATGGCAAGACGGATTAACTGTTGTAATGTGAGGTATCGGGTGGTTCTTAACTTCCTATGAGTAGTATAACTCATAACGATTGTTTTGGAGAATAAGAGCCATTATAATCCATACATATCATGGAATGTGTTATCATAGCTCGTGTCGAGTTCGAGCTCGTGTTGTGTTCGAAATATATACACGAGGCTCATATTTTGTGTGTTGTCCAATTATCCATTCTATATTTTATCTATCATATATATTTACAATATAGCCAAACATATGTAGTTATCTGTATTCATAATATCGTACCTTGTTTCTTTAGGATAACGTTTTCCTGATTGACATATGCGTATCCTTCAGTGAATAAATATTCATGTTTAAGTGTATCTATGTTTTTCATGCAATATGCTGTAATCATTAAATTAGTTGATGGAAAATTTAATTAATGAAGACACAAAAAAACTATTCACATAACGATGACATGCTTTATAATGACTTGGAATAAAGCCTGGGTTTGGGAATTGTAACTGACCCTGTTTTGTGGATGTTGGAGAGATGCCTAGATGGCGGGAGGACGGTAGTTCGGTGTCCTGTCACGTCATGCCAAGAGGCGGGCAGTACTTGTTGTTGCTGGGTATTGAGGAAATACAACAAAAACTACTCGGCTCGAAGTAGTGTTCTGAATAGCGCCCTGAGTGGGTGGGTGGTTGGGTGAGTAAATAGGTGGATGGTAGGGTGGGTGGATGAGTGGTTGGGTGGTTGGTTAGATGGGTGGGTTGATGAGTGAGTGGTTGGTTGGATTGGTTGGATGAGTGGGTGGATGGGTGGGTGAGTGGGTGGGTGTGAGTGAGTTGTTGGGTGAGTGGGTGGATGGGTGGGTGAGTGATGGGTGTGGAATCGAACCTGGATCTTTAAAGTAACGAGCGGACACTTTAACCATTAGGCTACCCAAATGCCCCTCATCACTGTAAAACATGCAGCCACACACGCATTCATGCGCACTGTTGTTCCTAGTGGTATTGCCAAACACCGCTCATCACTGACATTTGAATTCACACTTAGACTGCCACACTACGTAGATAGCCCATCCGTCTGTAATATGACACTAGAAATAACACTAGGACAACCAGGCAACATTAACAGTCCATCCGTCTGAAATACTGACACTAGAACTTACACTAAGGCAATCAGGCAACATTAACAGTCCATCCGTCTGAAATAATGACACTAGAATTAACACTAAGGCAACCAGGCAACCTTAACAGTCCATCCGTCTGAAATAATGACACTAGAAATAACACTAAGGCAACTAGGCAACCTTAACAGTCCATCAGTCTGAAATAATGATACTAGAATTAACACTAAGGCAACCAGGCAACCTTAACAGTCCATCCGTCTGAAATAATGACTCTAGAACTAACACTAAGGCAACCAGGCAACCGCAACAGTCCATCCGTCTGAAATAATGACACTAGAACTAATACTATGGCAACGAAGCAACTTTAACAGTCCATCCGTATGAAATACTGATACTAGAACTAACACTTTGGCAACCAGGCAGCCTTAACAGTCCATCAGTCTGAAATAATGACACTAGAACTAACACTAAGGCAACCAGGCAACCTTATCAGTCCATCCGTCTGAAATACTGACACTAGAACTAACACGATTTCAACCAGACAACCTTAACAGTCCATCCGTCTGAAATATTGACATTAGAACTAACACTTTGGCAACTAGGCAACTTTAACAGTCCATCTGTCAGAAATAATGACACTAGAACTAACACTATGATAATGGCAACCAAGCAACCTTATCAGTCCATCCGTCTGAAATAATGACACTAGAACTAACACTATGGCAACCAAGCAACTTTAACAGTCCATTAGTCTGAAATAATGACTCTAGAACTAACACTAAGGCATCCAGGCAACCTTAACAGTCCACCCGTCTGAAATACTGACACTAGAACTAACACTATGGCAACCAAGCAGCTTTAACAGTCCATCAGTCTGAAATACTGACACTAGAAATAACACTATGGCAACCAAGCAACTTATACAGTCCATCCGTCTGAAATACTGACACTAGAAATAACACTTTGGCAACCAGGCAACTTGAACAGTTCATCAGTCTGAAATACTGACACTAGAAATAACACTATGGCAACCAGACAACCTTAAGAGTCCATCCGTCAGAAATAATGACACTAGAACTAACACTATGGCAACCAAGCAACCTTAACAGTCCATCCGTCTGACATAATGACACTAGAACTAACATTATGGTAACCAGGCAACTATAACAGTCCATCCGTCTGAAATACTGACACTAGAAATAACACTTTGGCAACCAGGCAACTTGAACAGTTCATCAGTCTGAAATACTGACACTAGAACTAACACTATGGCAACCAGACAACCTTAAGAGTCCATCCGTCAGAAATAATGACACTAGAACTAACACTATGGCAACCAAGCAACCTTAACAGTCCATCTGTCTGAAATAAAGACACTAGAACTAACACTATGGCAACCAGGCAACCTGAACAGTCCATCCGTCTGAAATAATGACACTAGAACTAACACTATGGCAACCAAACAACCTTAACAGTTCATCTGTCTGAAATACTTACACTAGAACTAACACTATGGCAACCAGGTCACGTCAAGAACCCATCTTACTGGTATACTGACACGAGAAATAACACAAGAAACTGCCAAGCCACGTTGATAGTCCAACTGACAAAAACACTAGGGATACTAACACTTTGGCAACCAGGCAACTTTAACAGTTCATCCGTCTGAAATACTGACACTACAACTAACACTATGGCAACCAGACAACCGCAACAGTCCATCCGTCTGAAATAATGACACTAGAAATAACACTATGGCAACCAGGCAACCTTAACAGTCCATCTGTCTGAAATAATGACACTAGAACTAACACTATGGCAACCAGGCAGCCTTAACAGTCCATCAGTTTAAAATAATGACTCTAGAGCTAACACTAAGGCAACCAGGCAACCTTAACAGTCCATCCGTCTGAAATACTGACACTAGAACTAACACGATTTCAACCAAGCAACCTTAACAGTCCATCCGTCTCAAATACTGACACTAGAACTAACACTATGGCAACCAAGCAACTTTAACAGTCCATCAGTTTAAAATAATGACTCTAGAGCTAACACTAAGGCAACAAGGCAGCCTTAACAGTCCATCCGTCTGAAATAATGACACTAGAACTAACACTATGGCAACCAAGCAACTTTAACAGTCCATCAGTCTGAAATACTGACACTAGAACTAACACTTTGGCAACCAAGCAACTTTAACAGTCCATCAGTCTGAAATACTGACACTAGAACTAACACTATGGCAACCAGGCAACCTTAACAGTCCATCAGTCTGAAATAATGACACTAGAACTAACACTATGGCAAGCAAGCAACCTTATCAGTCCTTCCGTCTGACATAATGACACTAGAACTAACACTATGGTAACCAAGCAACTTTAACAGTCCATCCGTCTGAAATACTGACACTAGAACTAACACTAAGGCAACCAGGCAACTTTAACAGTCCATCAGTCTGAAATAATGACTCTAGAACTAACACTAAGGCAACCAGGCAACCTTAACAGTCCATCCGTCACGTCAAGAACCCATCTTACCGATATACTGACACGAGAAATAACACTAAAACTGCCAGGCCACGTTGATAGTCCAACTGACATAAACACTAGAGATACTAACACTTTGGCAACCAGGCAACTATAACAGTCCATCTGTCTGAAATACTGACACTACAACTAACACTATGGCAACCAGACAACCGCAACAGTCCATCCGTCTGAAATACTGACACTAGAACTAACACTATGGCAACCAGGCAACCTTAACAGTCCATCCGTCTGAAATAATGACACTAGAACTAACACTATGGCAACCAAGCAACCTTAACAGTCCATCCGTCTGAAATAATGACACTAGAAATAACACTATGGCAACCAGGCAACCTTAACAGTCCATCCGTCTGAAATAATGACACTAGAACTAACACTATGGTAACCAGGCAACCTTAACAGTCCATCCGTCTGAAATAATGACACTAGAACTAACACTATGGCAACCAAGCAACCTTAACAGTCCATCCGTCTGAAATAATGACACTAGAACTAACACTATGGCAACCAGGCAACTATAACAGTCCATCCGTCTGAAATACTGACACTAGAACTAACACTATGGCAACCAGGCAACCTTAACAGTCCATCCGTCTGAAATAATGACACTACAACTAACACTATGGCAAAAAAGCAACTTTAACAGTCTATCCGTCTGAAATACTGACACTAGAACTAACACTTTGGCAACCAGGCAGCCTTAACAGTCCATCCGTCTGAAATACTGACACTAGAACTAACACTATGGCAACCAGGCAGCCTTAACAGTCCATCCGTCTGAAATAATGACACTACAACTAACACTATGGCAACCAAGCAACTTTAACAGTCTATCCGTCTGAAATACTGACACTAGAACTAACACTATGGCAACCAGGCAGCCTTAACAGTACATCCGTCTGAAATAATGACACTAGAACTAACACTATGGCAACCAGGCAACTTTAACAGTACATCCGTCTGAAATACTGACACTAGAACTAACACTAAGGCAACCAGGTCACGTCAAGAATCCATCTTACTAATATACTGACACGAGAAATAACACTAAAACTGCCAAGCCACGTTGATAGTCCAACTGACATAAACACTAGAGATACTACCAGGACACTTAACAACTAGGACATTCCGACTGAAACTGGAGATAACATCTTTTTACCACAAAGCACCAACAAAAGGGATTGATTTTTACTATATGGAATACAGGTGGGGGAAAGTGACACTCCGACCTGGCGTTGCCATAGTAACGATATGACGTTTTCAGTCACTCGTGGAAAACTCTACCTGGACTCAAGGTTAGGAACAAATGGAAATTTACCATCTACAGAGGACGAGACGCGTCTATGAAATGTCTAACCATAAGGCACGTGACTGGTCACGTGGGTGGCTTCTCATATGACTTCCCGCTCTGGTGACGAGGCTTGGCGATCAATTTCCTGTAAACACGATTGACAGTAAAGGCGTGGTTGTGTTCGTTACTGCCAGCATTACATGTGACCAAACTCAAAATATTGCCCTGTCCATATCTCAAACACCAAGTTCTTCACCCAATTCACATGAGTCTCCCCCCCCCTCTCTCTCTCTCTCTCTCTCTCTCTCTCTCTCTCTCTCTCTCTCTCTCTCTCTCTCTCTCTCTCTCTCTCTCTCTCTCTCTCTCTCTCTCTCTCTCTCTCTCTCTCTCTCTCTCTCTCTCTGAGACAGACAAACACAGTGAGTGAGTGAGTTTAGTTTTACGCCACTAGCAATATTCTAGCTATATGGCGGTGGTCTGTAAATATTCGAGTGTGGATCAGACAATCTAGTGATCAATAGCATGAACATCGATCTACACACTGGGATACGATGACAGGTGTCAACCAAGTTAGCGGGCCTGACAACCCGATCCCGTTAGTCGCCCATTCTAACCCGGATTTTCACGGGTCGGACACACAGAGAGGGAGAGGGCGGCAGACAGACAGGCACACACACGCACGCAAGCACGCACGCACGCACGCACACACACACACACACACACGGGCGTAGGCTGTGATAGACACACTGGTTAAATGTGATTCAACATGAACACACACATCATGTAGTGTGATTGAACCAAGTCATTAAAGCCACAGCCATACAGAGCCAGTCACCACACACACAGCGGTATCGTGTGTTGTTTATTTTGAACCGACCGTTTCTCCCAGTTTGACACAGTTCGGTTCAGAGAGACAAGAATATTGATCAAAAATGAGAAAGATATGCTCTGTTTAGGGACACACTTGCACGGAACGTCGGAGCTAACAATAATACCGTTTGTAGGTCAGCTACACAAGTATAGCGTATTATGTCACTTGGGTTTTCCCCGTCTATTTTTAGAACGAGTCGGGCAGGCCCAGAGAATCAGTTGCCGTTTTGGGCTTGAATCTGATGGACGTATATTTTGTGACCTGGCAATATTTATGTGGACTTTCATTAATGGATTGAAAACGTGGATAGAGATCTTCACAAACTGGCAGAAACAGGATAAAACTGTGATGCAGTCGAGTAATTGAACGCTCGCAATTACTGAAACAAGAGAACAATCGGCTATTTTCCTAATTGTTCTAATTCGCGAATTCTCACGGGACCAACTTGCTTAATTCTGATTGGTTAAAATCGTCACATGACTACCAGTGAATGGCTGGGTCACAACAACGGCCCGGTTTAAGTGTAAATACCCACCAGAAAACTGCAGATAGACTGAGAGACGACCACAGAGTTGAATCCCCTAGACATCCCAAAGATTCGACTATGGCGCTGGAAATTCCAAGTCTGAACAGCGCTGACCTCAACAACATTGTTTTTAAACTGTTCAAGTACCCGACATGTGGACAGCAGTTCCGAAGCCCGATGACCACCTCGATCGTCGTAGACAGCTCTGATGTAAGTACAAGAGTGTGTGTTAAGTGTGTTACCTTCGATCCACTACGGACAATCGAATAATAGCTGGAAGTAATTTCCAAGGGACTTTTTAAAATACTCCTGATGAAAAGGCAACATTCGGCATTGGTGTATATTTCATCTTATCTAGGTTCAAGTGTTAACTTCTATCCTCTGAGGACAATCGAATAATAGCTCGAAGTAATTTCCAAGGGACTTTTGAAAATATTCCTGACAAAAAATTTGGTAATTTATTTCCTCTTATTTGTTTCATTTTTATCTATAACTTTTCCTTATGTCGTTTTACGTGTTCAATATTCATGTACATACAGTTGACGACCTTTACATTTGTTGTAATTACCTACTATCACATTATAACACAGCACTTAATTTTGTAATTGTATTTTAGTGTTTAATTTTACCATATTTGTGAGTTAATTAAATCAGAAGATTTACTTCTAAATTAAAAGATTTACTTCCAGTCATCCATCAATTTTTACCGTCTGGCACAATAAGATAAACAAAATTGGGAAACCAGTTCAGACTTTAGATTGTTCAAGTTGATACACATTGTTCATGAACCCTAGTCGCCATTATAAATAAATTGCATAAAGCGTATATAGAATGTTCCGGAATTCAGAACGGTAATATTCTTCCGGGTTGAGATGTAGTGTTTACATTTAGTGTTATCGCTTTCAGTCATAGAACTTTTTTATTGACAACAAAATATTTCATTTGAGTCTTTTTAAATCGAGATCCTTAGAATAGTTAACCTGCAGTATATTTTAGTCGACATGGTCTTAACGAACTACGGTTTAAACGAAACTAAAATTATTGGCCACCTTGAGTTCGTTATGATCGTAGTCTACTTTAATGTACTTCGAGACAGCGAGAGTGACTGTAAGATAAGCACTGTTAGATAAGGACTGTGAGTGAGTGAGTTTAGTTTTGCTCCGGACTCAGCAATATTCCAGCTATATGGCGGCGGTCTGTAAATAATCGAGTCTGGACCAGACAATCCAGTGATCAACAGCATGAGCATCGAGCTGCGCAATTGGGATACGATAACATGTGTCCATATGAACAAATGGAGTTGTAAATACATTGGTTTAGTAAACCTTTTTGACTAAAATTGCACACTGTAGAGGTAGGTCTATTATACAGTTAAGTACGTATATATCACGTTTAATACGAAGTGTTCTTCTGGTCACGGCCACTTGCTTGAGATATTAGTCGAATATGCGTAAAACGAATTACGGCAATAACGACTTAAACTGTGTGGCCCCTTGGAATTCGTTATAACTATAGTTACTATATGTTAATCAGTTTCCTGTAAGATACTATGTGTGAACCCACGTCGATAATTACTTCTCATTTTGTTTTATGACTTCCAGACAGAACTTAGCCCTGAGCCACGAACTCCCCAGTTCTCTTCGAGTGCAGGGCCCACGTTTCGAGAAAGTAATAGAAACTTCGGCTTCACTTTTCCAATCCCAGCTGCTCAGCCTCCACGAGGTCTGACAACAAATGATGCAAAAATAACACCCTCAGTATCAAAGACTGACCAGTCCCCACTGCCTCAAGCCACCACAGTGACCAACGGCCATCTTCACGGCAGTACATATGTGTTAGAAGGGCAGAGCCAAGCTGATGTGGGCACAGAGGCCAACGTCCAGTTTCCTGTTCAGTTGGGGACGAGATCGGCCGAGAGTCCAGTAGGACTTCAGACATTCCTTCTCACCTCCTCTGCTGTCAAAGAGCCATCTCCTGAACCCTCGTACCCAACCAACATACCAACTACAGTATTAGAATCAGCTCAACTTAGCAATGGACGCTACCCACAACCTAATCCTCAAGATATGCCTAAAGTGCTGGTTAGGGGGGAGGACGGCAAGACGACTTCATTTATCAGATTCCTGAATGACCCAATCCCCTTGCCAAATGAAATGGAGTACAAGTTGCTGAACATAGAAGGATACAGGCCGTCAGAGGAGTCCGTCCAGCATGAGACAGATGCTCCTATTGATAATAAAGTCATCGCAGATATTAACGCCATACAGAGAATGGAAGAGGAACCAGTGTTACCTGGTGAAGCTTCTGAAATTGACCCAGCAACGTACCAAACTGTTCAGTACATCCAGTATGAAGCTGCTTATACCGAGGGAGTTGATTCCCACGACGTACAAGATAATACAAATGTAAATCGACAGGTGGTATATGTTGAACTGCCAAACTGTCAGGTTGTTGGAGTTGATTCCCACGAAGTACAAGATCAAACGCAGGTAAATGAACAGTTGATGTATGAAGAAATACCAAACGATTGTCAAGAGGCGATGGAGGTTGCTGCCTACCAGTCGGTTGATGAAGCCCAGAACGCCAGTGACGTCCTCACGTACACGGAACTGACCCCCCGGACGCAACCTCCTCCCCCAGATCACACCCAGCAGGAGGACCTGCAAGAACAGCACGACCCACAGACCCAACCGGAAGTCCAGGATGAGGAATCCCAGGAATCTAAAGAGGCCTTAACTCAGAGGTTCGGTGAAAAGTACCACAATGCTTCTGATGAGGCGAAACGAGCATTTGCATCTGCCGTCAAGGAAAATTCCATGAGACCACTTTTAAAGATGGAACTGAAGCATAAGATTCAACTGAAGCGGCTACAAGAAGGGAAGGGAGAGTTGAAAGTGACCTTTGAGGACAGACCGATCGGCGAGGTGAGATAAACAAAATAAACAAATAAGAGAACGTTGATTTGAAATTAATTATTCACTAAATTTGTAACGGTTGGTCATTAAGTGATGGAGGCGGTGGGGTAGCCTAGTGGTTAAAGCGTTCGCTCGTCACACCGAAGACCCGCGTTCGATTCCCCACATGGCTACAATGTGTGAATCCAATTTTTAGTGTCACCCGCGGTGATATAGCTGGAATATGCTGAAAGCGGCGTAAAACTAATTCACTCACTCATTACGTGATGGGTGTGGGGTATGCATTATGTAACGGCTTTCTGAAATCCACTCAGGATCCAGCTATGTTTAAATTATTGATCATAATTTTGTGAGATAGTCATTTTTAACTCCCAATCACACTTTTTCTCACCATTATATTATTTGCCACTCCAGCCAACTGAAGAAGAGAAGGTAAAATCCAACACGCGGAAACAAAAGAACCGAGAGAGCGCTGTCAGGAGTCGCAAGAAGAGAGAGGAACACCTAAAAATTCTTGAGAAGGTAAGTCTTATTCAAGAACGTTGAAATCCCTCCTGTCGATATTGAGCTGTGAATATTATTTTAAAAACTCTTTGTAGAGGTCTCTAACATTCATATTTCTGATTATATTTTCAGACGGTGAAAGAGTTAGATCGTGAAAACAAAGAGCTGAGTAGAGAAATCGTCCAGTTGAGGACCTCCATTGCAGACGATCTGCAGCAGGTTGCTTGTATAGGATGCAATTGTTTTACCACGAATACGAATGCTGCCGACGTTGTCGCGGCAAGGGATGCGTCGACGAAGTCGCTCCAGGAAGCTATTAGAGATGTCCTTGCCTCGGAACAATATAAATACACGTGATAACGCCGAAATGTGAATCATTCAGTCTGGAAACATTGAACATATCAACGCCTGGATATCAGGTCATGTTGTAGGAGAATACTACCGCATACAGAGGCTTTGATATCGGGTGTTGCGACACCAAGGACATTATCATTGCAAATATGTTGTAGGAGAATACAACTGCATACAAGGCCTGGTATCGGGTCCAGTTTGGACTTGATCGGCGATTGGACTGTGTGGACACTTTGTGACTGTGACTACTGTGTGTGACAGTGTGACTGGGAGAGTACGTGACTGTGTGTATGTGACACCATATGCGTGGTAGCAAATGGTGAAAATGACATTGGACTCATTTTAACAGCATAACGCGTCATTATTATGTGGAGCTGCGATGTTAATGTAACGAACACCTGGTGTTTTACGTGTACAGAATATCACACAACAATGCTGATTTGTTTTGTTTATTAATATATGAATAAATTATTGGATAACTTTGGAATTGTTTTTATCTCCCACAACACTATGTCTGGTTGTCGAATAATTAACAATGATGGTTGTCTCGAATCCGGATCAGTCGAAGTTTATCCAAATCCTCACAAGTTTCACAGACGAGATTCGACTGTCTATCCACAGCTGGTATCTTAGTGGTGGGGGCGTTGGTTCATCTGGCCGAACAATTGGGTTCGAATCCTTACATGCGCACAACGAGTAAGGTCATTACAGTAAGGGTGAAATGTGCCTACGAGATGTGTAACTATATTCACACACACACACACACACACACACACACACACACACACACACACACACACCTTGTGTTGAAATGGGAATGTTCGGCTCGATAAGAATACTACGGGATAACCGAACTCACGAAGAGATTAGATCATGGTGCGTGATTTTTTTAAAATTGAAATCATTTGTTCGATGCCACTCGTCTCCATTTCAGTGATAGTCTGTTCTGTCTGATACAACCTACGTAACATATGGTATATTTGGGATTAAACTTTCTCAGTAAAGTACAAATTCTAGTACTTTTGTTTCGTTGAGTCCCATCCGGGATTCGAACCCACACCCACAGAGTATGTTAATGTTACGAACACCCGGTGTTTTAAATGTACAGAATATCACACAACTCTCATGCTGATTTGTTTTCTGAATGAATATATGAATATATGAATATATTATTGGATAACATTTGAATCTCCCACAACACGATGTCTGAATAATTCACAATGTTGGTTGTCTCGAATCCGGATCAGTCGAATTTTATCCAAATCCTCACAAGTTTCACAGACGAGGTTCGACTGTCTATCCACAGCGGTTGGGAACCTTAGCGGTTAATATAACACATGTGACATTTGACCACATTCCAAATGGCATTATGTATTCATAGACACAACCTACGTGAAATCATTAGAAATATGTCCCCTCAGTAATGGATATCTTACAACAAAAGAATTGTTTCATTTAGTCGTTATATGTTCAAGGATCACGTATATTCCATGGCGAGGACTGAAAGAAATTACGCAGTTAAAATCTACAGTTATATATATGCATGTGGTATTTCCAGTCTATTTTTAGACATGACTTGGTGGGTTTTACCGCGGTGTGTTCTATAAATATTTTCAGATAATTCACTCAGTTGTACATCTGGGTAACTGGGGTAGGTTCCGTTCATGTGAGCACATATTAGTAGATATGGATCGAGGCAGATACATAGCTAATCGCGACCATGACCTCATGAACGCGTGTGGGTTTTACGCGGGGATTCCCCTTTGGCGTTGAGCCAAGTCGACTGTTGAATCAGGCCACTCGTGGTGTCACAAGTTCGAGGTTAGGTTCGAAGCAGCTGTTTGTAGCTTTTGTGTACTGTTGCCATGGCAACCATGCTTAACCGAAAAAACCATATGGATTGTTTTCATTCTTAATTAGAATTATTCTTCAATATTTTGGGTCACAAAAGCAATGAATGGCAGTCATATAACTCATGTTTTTTTGTTTTAACTTTGCACTCAGCAATATCTCACCTTTATAACGGCGGTCTGTAAATAATCGAGTCTGGATTACGATAACTTGCATCAACTAAGTCAGCGAGCCTGACCACCCGATGAAGTCACCTCTTATGATAAGTATGGGTTTCTGAAGACCTTTTCTAACCTGAATCTTCACGGAACTCAAATTAAATTAGTTAGAAAGGTCCAGCCAGCCATTTATTCGATTTTCCAATTTGAAGAATAACACGTATAATCTAAATTATTTATTGTTTAAAACAAAAGGTATGATATAATAGAGGAAATGATATGGAACTTAAAACCTGTGGGATATTTGTGCGTGTGTGTGCGTGCGTGCGTGCGTATGTAAAACAGAATTGAGAGCAGTTGTTTGACTGACTGACTGAGTTTGGTTTTACGCCGCTTTTAGCAATATTCCAGCAATATCACGGCGGGGGACACCAGAAATGGGCTTCACTCATTGTACCCATGTGGGGATTCGACCCCGGGTCTTCGGCGTGACGAGCCAACGCTTTAACCACTAGACTGCCCCACCGCCACCAGATGTTTGAGATAAGCATAGGGAAATGTTCAGAGTTAGTTTATGACCATACGCAATAGGGACAGTGTGTGGTGTCCGTGTTTCACTGTGTCTGCGTGCATGCGCTAATCAGACATAATGCCAGTATATATACTACCCATCAAAAGTTTATATGTTAGTGTAAATGTAGCCACTTACTTCAGTCAACTGTTCTCAACTTATTTTTGAAAAATATTCCATTCAGGTTAAAGGTACTGTTTACATGTGAACTAATGTATTGTAAACAAATACGTAAGGTTGAAAAGATTATTGTCAAGAGTTCAGTAAATGATGAAAATCAGTGAAAATTGGCGAAGTCTTAACAAAACTTTACACCAAAACGCAGCTGTTCACATGAACGATATTTGCACATGCTTTTTAGCAATTTGATGCATGATCCTCGTACAATTCATCTGCATAAAGTTTGCAGTTGGTTCCCCCAAGTTAGTGGAGAATTCATCTTTGATGTAACCATATACATATACATAGCATATAGTGCGTGCTTTAGGTGAGTCTTAACCAGGGGCGGATACAGCTTTTTGAGAAAGGGGGGTGCACACTATTTAGAAAAGGTGGGTGGGGTACACATTTCATTTTCACCCGAGTTTCAATGGTCATTTAACAAACTTTCAGCACAAAGGGGTGCGCACCCCTGCCCCACCCCATCCCCTGGATCCGCCTATGTGAACTATAGTACCGCGGCGCCAGCCTTTGTTTTACTCCCCTAATGACGAGTGCTAATAGGGATTAGAACACATCTCGTCTTTCAACATCTTTTATAACATTAAGCTTGTGCAGATAACCAGTCCTACGGTGTACCTGAATATCTTCAAACACACCGGAATAGCCAGTGTCCTGATTCGACATGTCTAGTAGTCGATCCATGACTTACAGATCGTGAAACAAATCTGAGCCTTAATATATATTGTCACAACATTAAATCTTAATGTCTGTCTCTGGAAGGAGTGCCATTGTATTCATTCTCGAAAACGACGTTTTTAACTTCACCGCTACGCCATGTCTGCATTTATTCAGTACCATCACGACCAACCTGCTCGCAAGGCTCGTAAGACGCCGGAAAACCTTTGGCAATGTTACAGTTCAAAATCTGTTGCTCAACATATTTAGCGGTTTAGTTCAGACTTCCCCGATGTATTTGCGTGTACTTGTTAAATGTTTACATGAAAAATAATACTTTATAGAATATTTAAGATATGTATAAAAGTAATGACAAAAGCACGTTGAATTACGAGAACCGTTCGGTATTTACCGAGGAATCGAACACGTGCATTCGGCGCGACGAGCGATGCTGTTACCACTCGGCTGTACCTTAACGATGAATAGGCCATACTTTATACAACCTTCTTATGGAGAGACCATTCAAAATAAAACTCATATAGAGTGAGTGAATTTAGTTTTACACCGCATTCAGCAACATTCCAGCTATATGGCGGCGGTCTGTAAATAATCGAGTCTGGACCAGACAATCCAGTGATCAACAGCATGAGCATCGATCTGCGCAATTGGGAACCGATGACGTGTGTCAACCAAGTCAGTGAGCCTGACCACCCAATCCCGTTAGTCGCCTCTTACAACAAGCATGGGTTACTGAAGATCAATTCAAACCCGGATCTTCACGGGTCAAACTATACAGACAGACACGACTGTCCGGAACACAACTATTGGGCCTGAATTAAATAGACTACCATCAATTAACAATGTCTTCTTGTTTCATTTTAACCACGTTCAAACACGGTGTATGCATTTTATTGCCCGACCGTTTAATTTAAAACCAGCTCCGTCCTAATTACAAGTAGATATTAATCATTAGACTCTTTTTTCACTTATTTGTTATATTTTTTTCGCAAGAATCAAATAATCTCTTTTATATTCGGTAGATACGTATATCAAGTTTTCTTGAAATAGCTTATATTTTAAACCGATTTGATAACGTGTGGCATGTATGACAGGGTGTACATGTGATCCTCGACATGAATTGGCAGCTGTGATTGAGTAAATGAATTAATTTAAATACTGTATTTAAAAATAGTTGTCTAAATGACTGTTAAATATTTTAATATTGTCCATAGCAACCTACACGTGAGTAAAACAACCCTCCAAGGACTGATGTGGTGTTTTCTGTGTGATGTACAAATATGGTCATTTCAGGGTTGGCCAAACACGGTACCAAATAAGGAAAAAAGGTGAAGGTCGAAGGCGATGTTTCATAGCTGAGAAATTCCACCTACACAGTGAATGATGCAAGGATCAATACAAAGCATCAGTGAACGTCTGGGATGTTGGGGGTGTTGACGAGGGAGACGGCCCCATGCTGTGCAGACTGACACTTATTATATATGGTTCCTGTTTAACATCACAAATATCCTGTCATGTATATCCACCAACAGAAATTCAAAATAAACAGCTGTTAGATAAAACAATCGTCTAATATTTTGATACACTTTTATGCACTTTAATCAGTTCAACGAACCACACTGAAATTGCACATGTGTTTCATTTAGTTGGGTTTTTTTAACTGGTTGTTGTTGTTGTTGTTGTTGTTTTTAATAACAAACATGGGTCTATCGATATAAATTGAGGGGCAAAAAGTATACACTTGAAATTTGGATTTGACCAAAAATTACAAACATCATCAAAACGTTACCAAACTGTAAACTTTGACCGAAACACTGCATAGATCATCTGGCCCAAAACACAGCTATAGCATCCGTGTCCACACCACACCATCAAATAACCATTTCTTGCTGGATTCATCTCTTTTGCTTAGCAGTTCAGATGAATAAGAAAAACATATTTTTCATGTTACAAGGAATTTGAAAAGTATTTGCTTTTTTTCATCAGTTCAGCGGAATGTTTTTCATGTACTTTTATGGTGTTTTATGTAATCATATCATTGGGGTTT